AATAAAGAATTCTGAATTTAATAATAAAAATTATTAAATAATGATATTTAATAAAATAAGTTGATTTAACAAATTTACATTATCAAATAATAATATTTAATAATCTATACTATTAAACAATACTATTTAATAAATTTACATCATTAAATAATGATATTTAATGATCTATACCATCAAATAATAATATTTAATAATCTACATCATTAAATAATGATATTTAATAAATTTACATCATTAAATAATGATATTTAATTATTTACATCATTAAATAATGATATTTAATAATCTAGTCTGTTAAATAATAATATTTAATAGTATATATCATAAAACAATAATATTTAATGATATATATCATAAAATAATGATATTTAATAATATACATTATAAAATAATGATATTTAATGATATGTTTCATTAAATAATAATATTTAATGATATATTTTATTAAAATAATATATATTGATGACTCTAATATATATTGATATATATCAAATATCTGTTTCAATATATATTGATAACTTTGATATATATCAATATATATAACTAATAATAAAAATTAATACAAATCACTCCAAAAAATTTCTTGATGATCAATATTAAGACTCTGAACAAAATAGAGATGCAGTAAATAGAATTAGACAGATATTTGAGTTAGGAGCATCTTTGTTAGAAGAAAATGCAGAAAATGATAGATTCATATAAGAATTTGAAAGAATAACCAAGTCACTTGCACAAGAAATTGACAGATGTTATGAAGTTCTTAATGTAAGAACTCAACAACACACTATGCAATGCTCCAGAGGTTGATGATTAGCTTTTTAGTTATGTTAAATACTGATATCTCATGATTTATATATTAGTACGAAAAGTATTATATTTTTTCTTCACTGGATGTTAGTAATAATTTAATATATTATTTATTAAACTAATACATGTAATACCAAATATAATATTACCATTATATATTAAACTAATTCCAAAAAAGGAGATCTACATGGGCGGGAACTCCGAAAAGACAGAATGTGATCGGAAGTCACATGATCTGTCATTTTTTTTCTGTTTCACTTTGTTACTATATAATTAACCGAATACGTATGCCTCGGATTTGCATATCTCGGATTTATCTATCTCGGACCGGGCGATCTCAAATGGTGAGTGTCGTACATTCCTATCGCTGGAAAATTAATAATATGCTTGTAATACACCCGAAATAGATCGATTTACATAGTGACATAAATTACCTGATTATCAATGACGCTTGTCGCTTTTTTTTTTCTTGCAAAGTATATACTATTCTTCTTGAGCAAGATATTTTCGATATGTCAAGTGAAGATCACTCAAAGTTAAAATATCCAGGTGAGTCTACTTTGCACCTATTATTATTTTTATTAGTCAAATGATGAAAGAATACAACTTGGCATTCAGATTATTGGAACCGAGACTTTAACGCCTGGGGAAACTTAAACGATTGGGACACCTACTGGATCGAAAAGCAAACACAGCCAACGTTAATTACCAAGTACAATTCCCACGTAGCCTTAGGTGACGAACTGAGAGGCCTGAGGAAAATATATACAAGTACACATCCTGCTTATAATAAAATCCTTAATTTGCAGAAAGAATTGAGGGGAAGTATAAATAAGTTTATTCTTCAGGAGGATAGTGTACTCTATGGCTAATCCAGCAGACGAGTTCTGAGAAGGTTTTAACGAGTTTAAAACCGATGGGTAGTGCCGAGTGCACATGGACATAGAAACACTGTGTCGAAACGCGTTTTCGGACAAGGAATGTTCCACTTGAGTTAAACTTGGGGGACGAGTTCCAGCTGAGGGAGGGACGAGTTCCCGTGGCTTGTTGTGGACTTCCTTCCTCCTGTTTTTATCTTGAGATGATTATATCGTTATAATTAATCGTATTATTATTTTTTATATATAGGAAAATTCTAAGAATGAACAAAACAAAAAAATTTGGGAGGAATGCGATAAATATAGGTCATTAGGACTCGAGTCTCAATTGATTGACATGGAATTAGCCGTTGATAAGGCAAGTGCTTTATGAGCCTTTGATATTTCTTAACGGCCTGTTCTTACTCATTCCTTTATTGTAGAAGAAGGGCATTCGAGATGGCCTGAAGATAGCTCGGAAAGGGTTCCAAATATATTCTAAGGTGGATTTTGATTCAGTAGAAAGAGAACGGAAAAGACTTAAGAAGCATGCTGGAAATGTCCTTCCTGATGGCTCAGTGCTACCACCACCACCATCACCACCAGATTTCACTTTGAGTAACGAAGAGAGTGATTCTCCGACAATGCCACCTAACGTAGCTATATGTGATAGTGATGACGATGACGACGAAGAAATTCCTTCTTTGGACAGTGTTATCAATTCTGTGCCAGCTAACATACAAAATTGGAGTTTGCCCTCAGGAAAATTCGTTAAGGACATTTTTGCTGAAAATATATCTCGACATGCTGAAATCTTAAAAGATAAGAAGAAAATAAATGCAGAGGAGAAAGCTACCTTGAGATATGGCATGTCAAGAATCATCGATCTCTCAGCACATATGCGGGGATGGTTTTCTGCCAGTGAACGTCAGCATATGATGAAGGGCTACGAAGAAATTCTCAAAATTCCCGAGTTGGCAGAAGACGCTAATGAGTTCATTGCAAAGGTGGAAAAGGTAGATATATATGTGTGTATTTGGTAATGTCTTACATATATTTATTTTTTTACTGGTACATAGATGGTAAAGGAAAACGATGTCAATGGAGCATACAAATATTGTCTCAATCAGCATGCAGATGCATCAGTCCGTACTTGTCTTTATAAAATAAGTAGAGTTTATAGTGATTTGTGAGTACTCGTATTCATTTTATTATTTGTAGCTTGTCTTTATCTTTTCTAATTTACCCCATATAGCCTCTTTAAAGTCAAAGACGGAAATGATCTGTTAGATTGTGGCGGTGAACATCACACCGAAATTGATGTTATTGTAAAAGCATTGCTTACATTGTTGATGGACTACGAAATGGAGATGGAATACATTGTAAATGGTAAATAAAGAATACCTTTTTGACTTTAACAAGTTATAAGCTTATGAATTTCTTGTGCGTTAGGGGCGAATCATTTTGTCCTCTGAGCAAATCCACAAGTCATGAGAAAGGACGCAAGTGCGATGTCCGATTCTTAAGTCGTGCAGGAATAGATCTTGGTGAATGGGAGTTTGCTGCCGAAGCAACTCCAAATAAAGCAGTTGGAGATCGTTGTCGCTCAGCTAGAATCAATCAATCAATATTGAATGGCCTGTTGAGCAGAAACTTAGCTGATAAACAAGCGGATACGATCAAGGTTCCATTTATACAAATTGCTGGCGTTTTCGGACAGCTGTTGGTAGAAGACATGGTAAATGGCTTTTACGTTGTTTTTCCCGGTTCAACATTCGTGTTACCAACAAAATTGGCTCACTTGGGAAATTTAAAATCAACAATAAAAATTTTTAACCATGTAATGGTATGTACTAAAAGTTGGTTGATTGGGATTATAAATTAAATTTTTTTTCCTATCTTGACATCAAAGAAAATGACATATAAATTAATCATTTTCCACAGGAAACATATGAAAAAATCAATAAAATGTTTTATGAACTGAACCATGGGCGTAACTTACTCGAGGATATCTTCAAAATTGATGACGAAAAATCCGTACAGTGCAAATCAACATTTATTCACGAACCATGGTGGACACCAAAAAGTAAATCTCAAAAATCTCAAGTATTAACTGCGATTGAAGAAATGGAAAGTAAAATAGAACATTGACGGAGTGTAGGAGAGGGAATAAATGTTTATTAAATGTAATAAATAAGGATGATGACGATCTTGAATTTTTAATGCAATTGCATCATTGAAAGTTTCAGGCTTCTTATTTTTAGCCATCTGCATATATGATAGGTAAAAATTTTGGGGTTAATTACGTCGGTCGCTGTGACGTCATATATACGAAAAGTAATTGAAATAATAACATAAATCCCAATCATTCATTTAAAGTTTTAGATTTATTCAATAAGACCCAATTCTCGAAGATGCTCTGGAATAACTATATATGGGTCTTCGTAATACCAGACATATCTTAAAACGATCCAGTTTTCTTCGCATAATTCTTGAGTTGATCCCGTGCTTGCTGTTTGATAAAATTATTGAAATCTCCTCTATGAAAGAATTTGATATATTTTTCGTGTTGCACCCCTTGTACTTCTATCGCAAAACCATATTCCGGATAATAAATATCAAGTTGTAGACCTCGGGGGTGTTCAAAAGTTTTAAGAAAATCAGGTTGGCGTATATTGGATGGAGAACCAATATATTTAGAAACAATTTCACGGCATAATTTTTCACGTTTATAATATTGACAGTATGGACACCAAGAATTACTATTTCGGATAGTATTAAAGGATGCATACCAAGTATGTCCCTTATTACATTTCCAATAATACTGATCTATAGATTTGATATATTTTTTAGAAAGACACTCGCCACCACGCGATTTCGCAATTTTCTGCATTCTATCAAGATTTAATTTAAATCCGTATCTCGAACATTGTGGACACCAGGTATTATGGTTTTTTACACTGCTAAGGGAAGCGTACCATATATGCGATTTATCACATTATATATTGGATGGAAAGGCATTTACCTCCTTTACTATCTCCAATTTGTATTGCAACTTCAAGATTAAGACGGTTATCAGCACAATATGGACACCATATACCACGATCCTTTATACGAGTAAGAGGTGCTAACCAAACATGCCCTTCTTTGCATTTCCATTTTAAGAGATCCACTAAAGCCGGGTAGTCTCACGTGACATAGAATTCGATCCGGATCGTATCATGTGATTCATTCGTATCATGTGAAAGGTAATTATTGGCTAAACATATTATTGAATAATAATAGTGAACAAGACAATTAGCAAATACAAAAAATTAATAATAATTAAGAAATATGGAGATAATTATAGCAAATATATAATAACAATTATATATATATAATTATTTAAATTTAATATTTTTTATTATTAAAAATTGAAGTTAATAATTTATCTAAATATATAATAAATATTTTAGTTGCTTTTATATCATCTTCATTTTCAATTTTCCAATACTTATCTCATATTCTTTTCATAAGTTTACTAATTTGAAGTCTTCATATCTCTATTTCTTTTTTCACTTGAGTTTGAATTGACTCAAATAGTTTAATCATTTCATAATATTTATATACTTCAAAATTAATTTCTTCAAATATCTATTGAAATTTATTCTAAATCTCAATTGTTAATAACTTATTAGAATTGAAAATATGTTAATGAAGAATATGTTGATATAGAAGTAAATAATGATAAAAAAATATATAATTATATTAGGATATTTATAGATCTGATAGTAATTTTCTCTTTATTATTTTTATATTCATAGTTATAGCTTTACTTATAATTAACTTTTGAATAGGATAGAAAAACTTATATATCTGTTCAAGAATCTTATTATCAAGATCAATTACAGAGATATATTTTTGACAAAAGTTAAGAGTTATTTTCTCTAAATTGATCTATTTTTTGTTATTAAGTTCAATAATTTTGAAATATACTCCTAAATTATATAATAAAGAACAGACTATTAATAATAAAAATATAATTCATCATGTGATTTAGTAAACTTGAAAAATTTAAAGAGAATTAATCACATGATAAATTGCATCTTACCTATTAATTTATATTTCTTTACTTGAGTTTGCTATGATAGGATTCTAGTAGATTTATTGAGATGACTTACAATAAAAGAGAAGAGTGCTGATATGTTCAAAGTGTTTATTTTTCTGTATTATTAATGTAATTATAATTAATATAATGAATAATTTCAAAAATAAAACAGATAATAATAGCATTCTTAATAATTTCTTCATAACCAATACTTATTTTTTTATATATGACTAAGATTATTTGGTTACATATTATTAGATGATAAATTTTATATAGTTATATTTGTATAATATATATAGTACAAAGAATAATATTACAATTTTGTTTATTATGTATAATATCAGAAAAGATATTTATGATATTATTTATTTCTATATTATTTTAATTATATAATATATAATAAGAAAATTAATGAGATTCAAATTAATAAATCATCTTTAATATCTTAGTTACTGTATTATTATTTTTTTTACTAACAAGAAAATGTATATTCACATTCTAGTAACTGAAACTGTCTTGAATATATAAGGTGAAAAGATATCATAAATACTTATATCAGGAAATTTTTTGAGAAGATATTTATCGAGAATCATCGCCATATTTGTAAAAATCAATAAATATCTCTCTGAGATATCGATATTAATCGATAACTCCGATGATCTTTGATAAAAATCTATATCGATAATAATTGATCATTATTAGTACATTATTTATCGATATATAATAATATATTGATCATTATCGCAATATATTATTTATTGATAACAAATGATATATGTTAACAGTTAACTCAAATACTTGTTTTAAAAACCAGTTTATCACGTTTAGCTTATATAACCTAAATGAACACACATACACTCACACATTCAATTATTTTCAAGACTTAAAACTTCTAAAACACTTTTTATTTAATATTAAAAAATATATT